GAAGGGCCAAGGAGCAAGGTTGGGGTGGTGGTGGTGGTTAACGACTACTGTTCCAGGATCACATAGAGGTCACTGGCTGGTCAGCCAGATGGTGGCGCTTGCCAACACATACACACGTGACCTGATGTTTAATTGCTGGAGCATTTGACCCAGGGAAGGTTCAGCCTTAGGGACACTAGCACCTCATCCTGCCTTGTGTCCCCAGCCTGGAATTGGGCACCGTGGACAAGCAGTGGGTCTAGCAGGGGCTGAGGAGTCCCTGCTCAGGGGAGGCCGAACGTGCCAGCGCAGAGTCGCGCAGCTCTGCTGCCTAGGATCCTGAGGCCTGGCCAGACACCCAGTCACCCTGCAGAGGGAGATGAATGCTGGCTCTGGCCCCACGGAGAGTGCCTTGCCAGGGTCGGACTGCCGTGGATCACCGACCATTTGGGAAAATCTCTGCACATGAACAAGAAGGAACTTGGGGAAGGACTTTACAGGAAAAAGAATGTTAACATCCTCAGTGAGATACAAAAAAGCATTCTGTCCTTGAAAAAAGAACAGGATACCATAAAAATGACAAAACAGATTCAGAACAGATTGAAAAAATTTTAATGTTGTTTATTTCTGTGAGAGATCTCACTTGTACACAAGGAAGAAGGGCAGAGGATCCGAGGTGGGCTCCACGCTGACAGCAGAGAGTTTGACACCGGACTCAGATTTCTGAACCCGAACCATGAGATCATCTGAGCCAAGGACCAACTGAGCCACCCAAGCGCTCCAAGATGAGAACAGATAAGAGTGTTGTTAGAAACAAGAAGAAAAATAAAAGAATGAATAAAGACTTCAAAAGAAGGCTTAGATTTTTAAGGTCATTTCAAGGAAATATTCCAAAAACAAAACAAATAGAGATGAAACGAGGGAAGAGGTGAGATTTGAGGATTGATCCTGGAGGCCCAGTCTAGGATGAATAATAGAAATGCCAGAAAGAGAACAGACAAAACTGAAGGAAGGAAACGAACAAAGAATGTAAGACCATTCCAGCACTAAGGACATTAACCTCTGGATTGAAAGGGACCCAGATGTCCTGGACGATGACCCCACGCCAGAGCTTAGTGCTGCGTCTCAGAACCCTTTGGATAAAGGGACGCTCTGGAAATGTTCCAGGCTACCATAAGAACGTGAGTGTTCAGACAGCCAGCCCTGGAGGCTGGGAGACTGAAGAGCAACAGTGACTTCAAAAGTCTGAGCTAAAATGGTTTTTCAGCCTAGGAAGCCACCCCCAGCTGCTTGTCAAGTGTGGGGGTGGAACAAGGTTGTTTTCAGATACACAAGCTCTTCATCCTCTTCCCTTGGCTTGAACCCTCCCCGCAACCCAACAAATGAAGACATAAACACAGAATGAGGAAGGTGCTCAAAAACGGGACCCAACACATGAGCAAGATGGGGGCACGGCATAGGAGCCATGTGTGCCTCTGGCTCGGGGAGCTGCCTGTGCACCGCAGAGCCGGGGGGCGGTGCCAAAGGACTGATCTGCAGGGAAGTGGACTTGCCGCAGTAGCCATCCTGTACTTAACCCAGGGAGGATATTACACATAGAGCTGTTGGCAGAATACGGGGAGAGTCCGCAAATGCGAAGTGACTCTCATTAATGCTGTAAAAAGAAAACAACTATAAGAAAATTAATCCACTTTTTGGGCTGGCAAAGAACAGTATTTGCATAGTGGTATTAACATAAACACTGAATGTCCTTCACTAAAAGGTTTTGGAAGAACAGGGGAAGGGAAGGTAGGTGTGGATCTAGAGTAAGCAGCCATCAGAAGTGTGGAATGAAAGCTTTTGGGGAGCGGGCAGGCTGCGTGGTGGGGGCAGGGAGTCCTTGCAGTAGCTTTGAGGAGCTGCCTCTAAGCCGAGGGCATGTAGTCCTTGGAGAAGTTAATTACAAACAGTGGGGCGCCTGGGTAGCCCAGTCAAGTAAGTGTGTGACAGGTCGTGATCTCATGGTTTGTGCCGGGCTTGCTGCTGTCAGTGCAGAGGCTGCTTCAGATCCTCTGTCCACTTCTGACTCTGCCCCTTCCTGCTTGTGTGCTTTCTCTCCCACTCTCTCTCTCAAAAATTTAAAGACCACCAGAGCCCACCCTCCTTCTCCTGTGAGCACGTGCTCGTGTGAGAGACCAGAGGTGACTTGCTGCCCTGTGCTTCGAGCCTCACAAAGCTAAGCAGGATTCTAGCATTTACCACATGTGTTTTTCACATCACCGGCTCCCACACACAGGCGTGGTGCTTGGTGTGGTCCTCGGCGCCATGGCTGGGACAGTGTGTGGGGTTTGGCTCCCTGTCCCTAGGGCTTGGCCCTCCCTGCCGTACAGCCGCTGTTTCCCATAGGGAAACAAGGTCTCTTTATGGGTTTTCTGGCTCCAAAGCTGACTTGCGATGTCAGTGGAGATTAAGGTTTCCTTAAGTTGGAAGAAGAGAAAGGTCCAATGAGGTGAACAAGTGAGCAGAGTTTTTCTAGAAGCCAGGATGTTGGAGCAGTCAGCCGTTGGCATCCTGATGATCAGAGGTGACCATCCATTTGCCTGGTCGTGCTCTGGTTGTGTGACTCTGGAGCGTAGCGGATGCCACTGTCCTGAGCCCTCGTGCTCGGGACTGAACACGGAAGGGCTGTGTAAGCCCGCGGCAGCTCACATGCTGTGTCACGCCAAGGAGGCCCCCTGAAGCCTCACAGGTTTGTGTTTCCTCCCCGGCCTCTCTAGGCATCGAAGTGGATATTGACGTGGAGCACGGAGGGAAGAGAAGCCGCCTCACACCCGTCTCCCCGGGCAGCTCCAGCACCGAGGACAAGTGTGGCTCGCAGCCCAGCAGCTGCTCTTCTGACCCCAGCAAACCGGATGGGGACACGGAGGGTGCCACGCAGTCTCTGGCGGAGCAGATGGACAAGATAGCTCTGGAGCCGGGGCACCCTGAGGCAAGTCCCCTACCCCCCACGCCTCCGCACCCCCTCCACCCCCATCCCCTCCGAGAGGCCGCAGCTGCCCAGTGCCTCTCCCGGGACCCCAACCACAGCCACCGCTGGCGCTTACACGGCTGGGTGGTGGCCTTTATGTCACAGTCCAGTTTGTGAACCCTCGGCTAGAACTTTCCACACCTGCCTCTCCCAGAAACCGGGGCTGTGGGCAGGTCCTCGTGTGCTCACGGCTGCTTCTGTTCCAGGAGCAGATGGAGTCTGATAACTGTTCAGGAGGAGATGAGGACTGGACTCATCTGTCCTCAAAAGAAGTGGACCCGTCTACAGGTGAACTCCAGTCTTTACAGATGCCCGAGTCCGAAGGGCCAGCCTCCCTAGACTCTTCCCAGGAAGGGCCCACAGGGCTGAAGGAGGCTGCGGTGTACCCACACCTGCCCCCAGGCAAGTGATGGCAGGCAGTTTCATGTTTCTCCCTTTAGCCTCCAGACCCGGAGTCACCAAGGCGGGGGGATTCCGAGGCTCAGGCACCACCACGTACCCCTAGAGGTGGATTCAGAGTCCACCTTCAGTTCCCCTGAGGAAGGCGTTGACTCGGAGCTCCTGTAGGAGCCGGGAAGGCCGAGCTGTGGGGCGGGTGGTGCGGCAGGGCCTCGTGGGGACTGCGCAGCCCCGAGCGCATGGAGTAGGAGCGGCAGCTGCCACCTTGCTCCGGTTCGGTAGGGTCTCGAGACGACAAGGTTGGAAACAATAAAACCGGCGAAAGCCTGGCTGCGGGCTGGGGCGGCAGGCTGTGGCTTAGGGGCTAAGAATGAGGTTTTCGTTTTTATGATGGCTGGAAAACATGAAGACGTGAAAACTGGGTGAATTGAATATGTCAGTGTCAAGTTTTACTGGAGCACAGCCGTGCCCGCCTGCCGGCACAGCAGAGCCTCACAGGGCAGCTCCGAACACTCCCCCTCAGGCCCTTTCTGGGAAAAGCTGGTCAACCCTGACTTGGGAGCGTTGCTCTGAAGGTCCGAGAGTCCGTGGAAGGGCTGTCTGCTGTCTGGACAGGACGTGCTCAGGGACTCCCTCACGGCTTTTGTCCCCTCTCTCTGGCAGAAGCGGACCCCCGGCTGATTGAGTCCCTCTCCCAGATGCTGTCCATGGGGTTCTCGGACGAGGGCGGCTGGCTCACCAGGCTCCTGCAGACCAAGAACTATGACATCGGGGCTGCCCTGGACACCATCCAGTATTCAAAGCATCCGCTGCCGTTGTGACAACTTTTGCTTACTCGTTCCGTCCCCTTTCTTGTCTCATAGTTGTGTTGAGCTAGCGTAGAACAGCAGGGCCTCTGTAAGGGCCAATTTCTCTGCATTCTTCTTCCAGAATCTGGGGGGCGGGGATGCATGAAGCCATATAGGGCAGGAGAACCGGTGAGAGGAAGTGGCGGCCCCAGGGTGTGCGCTGAGGTCTGAGAAACATCTACCAGCTTTCCATGGGTGCGCGGAGGCTTCCTGGGGAAGATGGAAAGTCCTTGCTGAGGAGGACACTGAGGCCACATGGTGGCATAGTCCTGCTCTCCCCCGACCAGGATTACACCAGCAGTCCAGAATGTCTCGCCTAATGGCCTTCTGCCTTTTTTTTTTCCCTTGATTAATCCTGTGCTGACATGTATTTGATTTTCTGCTGATCAGCTCCAAGTTTAGACCGAGTACAGCCAACATCCTGTCGGGGTGGAGGAGCAGCGTGCGGGAGGCTAGCATAGTCTAGGCCCGGGCAGGAGGGGGCGCTGAGGGAATGGAAGTGGTGCTCACGGATCCTGCCTGTCTCGTAACCACTCTAGTTCTGTTTCCAGGTGTGTCCTTGCTTTTAAAGTACGAAAACACCTTTGTAACCCATTCTGTTGCTCTGTTGTAAACAATCTGTAATTAAGTGGTACAAGCACTTTAATCAAAGATGTTGCAACCAGAGATGACCTGATAGTTTTTATTTTTGAAAGAGCACCATGTGAGTGGGGGAGGGGCAGAGAGAGGGGGGACAGAGGATCCAAAGCAGGATCCGCGCTGTGGGGCTTGAACTCCTGAACTGAATTCTGACTCCTGAGCCAAAGTCAGATGGTAAACCATCTGAGCCACCCAGGCATCCTGGTGTGTTTGTCATTCTTGGCAGGACTGGGGATGACTTATGGGAACGCTTTAAAAAAAAAAAAAAAAGAATCTCTACACCCAATGTGGGACGTGAACTCATGATCCTGAGATCAAGTCACACGCTCTTCCAACCAAGCCAGCCAGGCACCCCAATTTCTGGGAACTACTTAAAAGGTACTTGGGGAGCCCCCTTTCCAGTGGCCGAGAAGTCTAATTGCTCATAGCAAATACATCTGTGTTAGTAAGACTCTAGTTTCAGTTCACAAATCATCCTCAAAGTCCTCACCAGTTTTAAAGAGGTCACATAGTCGCACAGGCGGGGGCGCCTGAATGCCTGTGGCCAAGGGCCCACCCTTTGCCAGAGGACTGGTGTCCCATGGCTGTTGGGAGGTCTTTATGCAGGGCCTCTGGAACCCAGACGTAGGAGCGTGTGTGGGCCAGGGAAGCCCGGGAGCGTCACGGGGCCTGCTGGGGCACCCTTCCCTTGGGGTCTGGGCCCTAAGGGTGCCCTTCTCAGCCAGTGCCATCCCTGCTGGCCTAGGGTCTCTATTAAGGGGGACCGGGGGCTCCGTGTCCACACGTGGGCTGTTGCCAGGCTGCAGAAGGAATCGTTCCCACTTGGAAGATGTGGTCCTGACGTGGGCAGGGTGTGCAGGATCCCCCCGACCAACAGATAGCTCCCCGGTGTCCCAGTGACTGCTTTCGTCCTGGGCCTTCCCCATCGGGCCACTGCGGTCCTGCAATGGAAATGAGAGAAGATGGTCAGGTCCTCTGTTCAGAACCAGTGCCAGGGGCGCAGCAGGACCCAGGGATGGGGGAGAGAGTCCCCGTGCCTCCACTGCTGCTTCCTCCTCTGCCTCAGGTTCTCCCCCTCTTCACTCTTCTGCCTACTCACTAGTTCTCGGGATGGCAGGCCAGGGACCGGTTTCATTCTGTGGTTTGGCAAAGCAGGGCGAATAAATGCCTTCATCTCAAATCCTCTGCCAGAGTCCGTGACCGGGCTTTCCAGAAAAGCATATTTCCATGGGACTTTAGATCAGGTGAGAGGGGGCCTGAGAGGAGGGGTGAGCAGGAAGGGCCGTGAGAGCATCAAGAAAGGGACAAGGAGCTGTTGTGTCTGCTCACTGCCAGGTGGATGGGAAGGCCTCCAGAGCCTGGAGAAGGTTTGAAGCTGGGGGAGTGGCTGCAAGGAGGACCCCAGGATGTGAGCACAGCTTGGGGCCTGGCCTGTCCCTTCTCCCTCAGGAGCCAAGGATGCACCGGAATCTGAGAGCAGGGACAGGCAGGAGGACCCTGCATCACTACCCCAGGGCCGTGTGGAAGGGGCTTGTGGCCGGTTGTTACATCTGGGAAGACCTCTGCCCCTGACTCGCTGGGCTACGCTATCGTGCAGACTTAGCTCCTCACCTGCCAAACCAACCACACCTGCGTGAGCGTCCCGTGTGACCGTGGCCTATGTTGCGGGTTGGCAGTGACCCAGCATAGATCCTCTGCCTTAGTGCCGGTGGCTCCGGTGACAGAAGAAAGCAAAGTCTTTGTTCTGTGGCCTTCGGAGTGCAGGGGAGTTGGCTACACGTGAAGCACCAAGAACAAGCAGAAGAGTAGGGAGGATGCGGGGCTGCGTACGAGGAACCTGAGCTTGCCTCGTACCACGGACACACGGGCAACGACCACACATCTCCTAACTGAACATGATGCAAAGCACGGCAGGACAGACTTCCCACAGCATGGTGTAGCAAAGTCACTTTGAGAAGGGTAGGAGGGGCAGAGGGGCATGCGGTCAAGGACCAAACCCCTGGAGCAACTGGCCACAAACAGGCGGGGTCGGACCTCACACCAGATACCCCTGGCCGTGGGGACCTGCGCCCGGGAAGACCAGTCCCTGTAGAACAGATATCTGGCTTTGTGAGTCTGGGGCTTCCCACTAAGAGAGCTGGAGGGTGACAGGAAACGAAGTCCCTGTCTGTAGAGCCAACACGCTAAATAACCGGGCCCAACACAGCACTGAAACCGCAGTCTGGAAAGCACCTGGGTGTGTCTGTGCAGGTATTAGTCACCTAAGCTTAGGAGGGATGGTGGCGGGGCAGGGACCTGCAGGAGCTCCGCTGGAACGGAAGTGCGGGCGGGCACTACTCCACCTGCCCTCCCCCAGCCGGGATGCGCCTGGGAGCAGGGTCTGTCTCCACACGCTGCTGGGCCGCGTGTCCTCGGCTCCAGCCATTCCGGGTAGTCTTGGCTTTGGGCAAACATGTAAAGAGTTCATACCTATTCTCTCTACACTGTTCCAAAAACTGGAAGAGGAAGGAAACTCTAAATTCATTATATGAGCACTGTATCAGCATTACTGATACCAAAACCAGGCAAAGGCACTGCAAGAAAAAATCAAGGACCAAAATCCCTGATGAACACAGATGCAAAAATTATCAATAAAATCACACCAAATTCCGCAATACGTTAAAAGGATCACCATTCACGAAGATCAAGTAGGTCTTGTTCCAGGTGCGCCTGGGTGGTTCAGTGTTCACAGGACAGTTAAGGTGACGCCTCGCATCAACAAGAGAAGGATGATAACCAAACGGTCATCCTAATAGATGCAGAAAAAGCATCCGACAAAGTACAGCTGTTTATGATAAAAAATCTTCACGGGTGTAGAGAAAACAGACTTCAACATAATAAAGGCCACATCTGTCAAGCCCACAGTTAAAACCCCACACTAAATGGTGCAGAAGTGAAAGCTTTTTCTCTAACATTTCAGGAACAAGACAGGGATGTCCGTGTTCACCACTTTCATTCAGCAGAGTACCGGAATTCCTACCATAGCAACCAGACAAGAAAAGGAAATAAAAGGCATCTGAATGGGTAGCGAAGTAAAACTGTCCCTGTCTGCAGACGACATGATGCTCCATAGAGAACCCTCTAAAGACTCCAGCTAGGAACTACCAGAATAAGTGAATTCAGGGAAGTTGCAGAAATCTGCTGTGTTTCTATACACTAATAACAGAAAGAAATTAAGAAAACAACCCCATTTGTGACTGCATCAAAAAGAATAAAATACCTAGGAATAAATTTAACCTAGGAGATGAAAAGACCTGTAATCTGAAAACTGTAAGACACTGGTGAAAGCAACTAAAGATGACAAACAAATGGAAAGATAAAGTATGCTCTGGGAATGGAAGGATTAACACTCTTCCATACTACCCTATGCATGCAATCTATGAAATTCAAACCAATACACATGAAAATACCAATACCATTTTTCACAGACCTAGAATAATCCTTAAATGTGTATGGAATCCAAAAGACCACGAAAAGCAAAAGCAAACTTGGGAAAGAAAAAGCTGGAGGAATAACAATCACAGATTTCAAAATATACTACAAAAGTATAGTAATCAAAATGGTATAGTATTGGCATAAAAAAATGGACACATAGATCAATGGAACAGAATAGAAAATCCAGAAATAAACCCATGATTATATGGTCAGTTAATCAAGGACAAAGAAGGCAAGAATGTACAGTGTGGAAAAGACAGTCACTTCAATGAAGGGTGGTGGGAAAACTGGACCATTTTCTTACACTATATAAAAAAAAATAAACTCAAAATGGATTAAAGACCTAGGTGCACCTGGGTGGCTCAGGCCGTTAGGTGTCCAACTCTTAATTTCGGCTGAGGTCATGATCTCACGGTTCATGAGTTTGTGCACCACATCGGGCTCTGTGCTGACAGCATGGGGCTGCTTGGGATTCTCTCTCTCCTCCTCTGCCTCTCCCCTACTCACATGCACATGTACAAGCTCTCTCAAAATTAATAAACTTAAAAAAAACTTTCAAAAAACAAAAAGGATTAAAGACCTAAATGTGAGATGTGAAACCAGGAAACTCCTAAAAGACAACACAGGCAATAAGCTCTTGGACATCTGCCTTAGTAACATATTTATGGCTATGACTCCTCAGGCAAGGGAAACAAAAGCAAAAATAAAATACTGGAAGTACATAAAATAATAAAATAAAAAATAAAATACTGGGAGCACACTTTTGCATAGTGAAGAAAGCCATTAACAAAACGAAAAGGCAATGTACTGAATGGAAGAAGATATTTGCAAATAACATCTGGAAAGGGGTTAATATCCTTAATATATAAAGAACTTAATTACCACTCAACACCAAAAAGTCAAATAATCCAAATAAAAAATGTACAGAGGCCCAAACAGATACTTTCCCAAAGAAGACATAGAGACGGCCAACAGACACATGAAAAGATGCCCAACATTGCTAATTCTCAGGGAAATGCAAATCAAAACCACAATGAAATATTATCTCATACCTGTCAGAATGAGTAGTATCAAAAATACAAGAAATAACAAGTACTGGGGAGGATGTGGAGCAAATGGAACCCTAGTGCACTGTTGGTGGGAATGTAAACTGGTGCAACCACAGTGGAAAGCTGTATGGAATTTGCTAAAATAATTAAAAATAGAAATACCATATGATCCAGTAATTTCACTACTGGGCATTTCCCCCAAAAAAGCAAAGTACTAATTCAAACAGATATATGCACCCCTGTGTTTACTGTAGCATTATTTATAAGAGCCAAGTTATGGAAATACCCCATGTCCACTGATAGATGGATAAATGAGATGTGGTATATATCTATATAATGGAATATTACTCAGCCATAAAAAAGAATAAATACAGAAAATTGGTGGTTGCCCAAGGGGAAGAGGATGAGGAGATGGGCAAAATAGGGTAAGGGGATTGGGAGGTACAAACTTCCAGTGATAAGTAAGTCACAGAGACGAAAAACATAGCACAGGAAATAAAGTCAATTCAACTAACAATGTTGTAGGGTGACAATGACCATATTTATCATGGTGAGCCCTGATTCATGTGCTGAGCCGCTGAGTCACTACGTTGAACACTAATATAACTGTATGTCAACTATACTTGAGTAATAAAAATAAAAGGAACAAGAGCAGATCCTAGGGGAAGACCGTGCCTTGGTACAAAAAAGTACACTTAGGTAAGTGAAGGGGAGGATGGGAACGGTTCCTTAGAAATTCAGGGCAGGTCCCATGATGGACAGTCTGATAAAGACCCCCCACTCCATGCAGAAGGAAGAGAAAAGCCCTGGTGGTTAACCTTGGTTGATCAAGCTGCCCTTTTGATCAAGGAGCTCACATCCCTGAGAGACTCACTACGGCAGGGAGATGGTGGAGACCAGAGAAAGGAGTTCGCTTAGGTCAGAGCAGACAAAACACTTGGGTGTTAAAAATTTTGTGTGTGTTTGGGGTGCCTGCGTAGCTCAGGGGTAAGCATCCGACTTTGGTCCAGGTCATGATTTCATGGTTTGTGGGTTCAACCGTGTGTCAGGCTCTGTGTGGACAGCTCAGAGCCTGCTTCGGATTGTGTCTCCTTCTCTCTCAAAAAATGAATAAACATTAAAAAAAAAATCTGTATGTGTTCACTGGTTACTAGGACTAGAAGGGAAACACTGTCCTCATTCACTGACCTTCTGAGGCTCCAAGGGAACCTCGCAGTCACTCGGGTTCCAGACGTCAGGGTTGTGTGGAGGGTGGACTGTGCTCTGGCTCCGTTTCCTGGTGGAGGGAAAGTGCTGTCACCTCACAGGGTCCTGATCCTGACCTGGTGGTCACCAGGTGGCCTCTTTCTAGCAGCTACAAGCTATGGAGCAGAGAAATGGACTGCCTTGGGTTTTGTCGGGCAGCCCATTATTGGCAGTGGGGCGGAAGCAGAGAAGCCACCTGGGAAGCTGTCTGGGAGGACAAGGTCTCTACCTGTGTCTTATTGTGAACTGGAACCCGCCTCCCAGTACAGCACCCGCCCCGTGGGAGCCACCCTGGATCTAGACAAGGCACCGTCTCAGATGACTTGCAGAAATGCAGAGCAGGCCTCCAGGGGAAGGCACCTGTAAGAGGTCAGGTCTTTCCTGCTGTAGGCTACAAGCCCTCAGGCCTGTAAACCACGCTGGCCACACTTCACTCTGTCACCTCTTCCTGGAGGTTAGTGCAGTCACAAGTGAGCACCATCAAAGGTGCTCACACGGGCAGCCCGCACCTCTCACCTCTGCCCGGCAGCATCTGGCACCTGGTGAGGCCGAGGAGGGCCTGGTGGAGCTACCTGCCAGCCAGTGCCACGTAGGCTTCTCCCACGCCGCTGGCTGCCAGGGGCCGCGCCTTGCGCCCCCATCTGTGAGTCTGTGGCATGGGGCCATGGCTGGGTTAGTGACTAGCTTGGCACCTTTTTCTAGGCAGGCCTGTGTTGAAGGGAGGGTCCGGCTTCTCTGTCCTGGACAAGGGCTGTCTCTTGAAACACATTCCTCCTCCTTCCATCCCCAGTTCTTCGGAGTCTCCTTCCAGATACTTCAGCCAGCGGTTCTCTGAGGACTGAGGTTTTTCCTACAGGATTGGGAAGTAACTTTATTCTCAGGACCCACATCCCCCTTGTCACCGAAAGGCATTTTGCTGGAAGGTAATGGGGAGATGGGTGTCCTGAGACACCACTGGGGACCGTGCACACTGGCACAGGCCATGGGAAAGATACAGGGCACAGCTCATCAAGGAACTTTACAAATGCCCACACTCCCTGACCTAGGGGTTCCAAATGAAGACAGAGACACAAAAATGCTCATCAAAGTGATATAAATGACGGCAAGTTCGTTGCGTAGCAAAAATCTGGAAGTAATCTACATGCCCGGTCATCATGGAATAAACCCTTGTTACACCCGCTATATTCTGTGGACACCTGACACCACCGAACACTCCACAGCAACACGAGAGCGATGGAAGGGAAGATCCAGGGTGCACACTAGCATCTCTTGAACTAACGACGATGTAAAATTCAGTCCCTAAGTGCCCAGAACTGGAAGTACAGAACCACGTACGTGAGAGCTGCTGGCTTAAGGCCGGGTACTTGGGAGCAGTGCTCTCGTTTATAATAAAAATAGGAAGAGTGTGTGAGCAGATGGACACTGCCAACGCGATTCTGTGGGTGGAGGCGGGCTCTGTCTTTGGGTGGGGAGGGGCCCCTGGCAGCTGTCCCCACCCCCGTCCCCGGCAGGACGCAGTGTTCCTTGGAGGCACCAATGGCGTCACCTCCTCAGTCACTCAAGTCTTACCCACACTGCCCCGCCAACACCGTCTGAGCACCTACTTTCCCAGGCACGGGGACAGAGGGTTGTGTGTGAGCCCGGCCGGGAGGCCCGGTCTGGAGACAGGGGACACGAAAGCCAGGCACCGTACAACAGCCCCTTTTCCCTGTCCGAGGTGTGCCCGGAGCGCTGCGGGGCAAGGGGAGAAGCCCTCGCAGCCAAAGACAAGGCCCCTCTCGGAGTACTGTGATTGCCAGTACATATGGCTGTCTCCACCCTTACAAAAGGGACACGTTGGCTCCTTTTTGCATCCCTAGTAGCTGTAAGCCAAGTGCCCGGTACTGAAAGCGCTGCTGAACAAAAGACTGACAGATAAATAAATGGAACCCCCCGTGACAGAGACAAGCACTGGCTTACCTGTGGACTCGCGTGCTCGCCCCGCTGAGACCCTGTGTCTTCCTCTCCGTCAACACTTACAGGTTCTTCCGGAGACCTTAGTGAAAGATTGTACATGTGTCCTTAGTAAAATGACCAGGAAGATGAAGGGCAAGGAGATGAGAACAGCAGGATGTAAATACTTGACAAGGGTCATCAGAGGCTGTTCTAGGGGATCTTAGGGTCTCATTTCTGTAGTTCTGATGTAGGTCAGAAGGCCTGGGCAGAGGGACCATTTGCTCTTCTGTCAAGCCCTCCATCAACAGGAAAGGTGACACAAGGCAGACTCTTAACCTGGAGAGACCAGAGTTTGCATCCTGGCTTTGCCAAGGACTGGCGGTCACCGGCACAGTGTGACTTTGGGCTCATCATGCTACCTCGCTTTCCTCATCCACAAACGAAGACAACAGTGCACGAGTGACTGCGAAGACAAGTGTGACAAGGTGTGTGCACGTGCCTGGCTGAGGGCCTGGAACACGGGCGGTAATGTCAGTTGAACTCCTGTAGCAGAGCCCCTCCCATCAGCAATGGAGACGTCTGCGCTGCACTGGGTTGGACGAGTCTTTCTAGTTACAGCTCATCCCTTACAAGACCCGAGGGCACTGTGTGTGTCCCAGGGATAGGGAAGAGCACAGGCAAGAGGAACAGGGCTCCCACCACACAAAGAAGAGTGGAGAGCCAGAGCCCCCTTGCTCTCTAATGGGGCTGAAGGGCAGTGCTAACACTTACCGTGCAAGGGCTGGAAGTCAGCGCAAGGCCAGCCTCACCCACGTCACTCAGGGTGGTTACATCACATGATCAAGTGGGCACTCTCTCCGGTGAGCTATGCGGACAAACCCCAGCTCTGCCAAATGTGGGTGTCTGTATTTGAGTCTCTTCATCTGTACGCAGAAGCCAACGATCCTCACAGGGTGATTATGACGAGGAAATGAGATCACGCACGTGAAACACCTACCCTGCCACACAGTTGATAATCCAGTGTTCACTCGAGCAGCCGCCTACCAGCCACTGATTCATAGGAGCTCAGCTCCATCAATAAAGGACATCTCTCAATAGTCTGAAGATACCAGTCTGTCTTCTTGTTTCTGACGCTACCACTGACAAGTCAGGCGTCTGATGTTCCTCTGTGGGTGATCTCTCTTCTCTCCAGCTACTCTTCAGCTCTTCCCTTTGTCTTCCGTGTTCTGTAATTTCATTATGTTGTCATCATCTAAGGGTCGTCTAGTTTTTTTTTTTTTACCTTAAAAACTAACTTGAGGCACAACATACACTAAGACTTAAGTGTATAGATGAGCTTTGATAAATCTATCTTTATCTATCTTTGCAAACTATCACCCCAATCAAGATAGAGCAAAAACATTTTTAATTGAGATATAACGGACAAGATATGGAAAATTCTCATCACCCCCAGAAGTTCTCATATGTGTCTTGGCAGGCAATTCTCCTCTCCCCCAGAAAAGTCACACTGATCCATACAGCAGGTAGTCTTTGGTGTCTGGCTTCTCTCACTTAGCAGTGCTTTGAGATCTGCCCATGTTGTTTCTGTTGCAGCATGCCACTGCAGGAACCTACCTCAGTGCACTTATCCATTAACCTTCTCATTTCCACACGTCTAGCCTTTCACCGATGCTGAACTCTCTCAGTTACTGCAGCATCATAGATCTTGAAATTAGGCAGGAGAAGTCCTCCAGCTTTGTTTTTATCAGAATTGTTTTGGCAATTCTAGGTACTTGCATTTCTATATAAATTTTAGGATCAGTTTGCCAATTTTTACCAAAACACCTCCCCAAACCCCACTGGAATTTTGGTTTGGATTAGGTGGTCTCTACCAATCAATTTAGGATGAACCGAGATCTTCACAATATTGAGTTTTCCAATCCACGAATATGAACTTTTCATTAATTTAGATCTTTTAATTTCTCTTAGCAATGTTTACAGTTTTTACTTAACAGACCTGACATATTTTTGTTATATTTATCCCTAAGTGTCTAATTTTTGATGCTGTTCTAAATGGTATTTGATTTAAAAAATCATTTTCCAATTGTTCATAGCATTTATATAGAAACAATTTAATTTTGTATGTTAACTTTGTATCCTTGTGATCCTGCGAAAATATTAGCTCTAGTAGCATTTGCATAATTTCATTAGGATTTCCTACATCCACAATCATGGTGTTTGCAAATAAAATAATGACTCGTTCCAGTTTGAGACTTATTGTTTTCAAAATCTAAGAATATAAGCCTTTATTCTGGAAAACACTGTAGTCTTTTTTTCTTCAAATATTGCCTTTACCCTTTGTTTTCTCTTGCTGGACTCTTCCCTTAGCTTCCATGTTTCTCAACTCACATTTTCCATCTTTTTATCTTTCTTTGTTGTCTTGTGAATACTTTCTTCAGATTTAGCTTCCATTTCACCAGTTCTCTCTTCAGCTACATTTAATGCTTAAACTGTCCACTGAATTTTTAATTTCAATGATTATATTTTTCATTTCTACTAACTCTTTCTGGATCTTTTTCAAATCTATTTGGTCATTTTTCAAAGTCCTTTGCCTTTTTCTCTGGTAATCTCCAACGTGTGGCTCCAACTCATGACCCTGAGATCGAGAATCACATACACTATACCACCAGCTGAGCCAGCCAGATGCCTTGAAGTCCCTTACTTCCTTTATTATCAACTTTCTCTTTTATTTCATCAACTATATTAAACATTCAGGCCTGGGTTGAAGACATACGGTCACGTCTGCATTTACCTCTGCTTCCTTGGACAATTCAAAAATAAATTCTCCACTTGAGGCTTTTCACACAGTGCATGTAGAAGGCTGAAAAGCCGTGTGACAGATTTCTTGTGTTTATAAAATCCTGGTGAGAGATCTCCCCTCTTCGGCCAATGCCAACATCAACATAGGCAGGCTCCCTGCTGCAGAGAGGGTGCATTTCTAGTTCATCTGTTCATTCATGGAGGGTATAGTGTTTTGGGGGCTCGGCTGTTTTTTTTTTTTTTTTTATGTTTATTTTGAAAGAAAAAGAAAGTGCATGCAAGTGGGGGAGAAACAGAGAGAGAGAGAGTGGGAAAGAATCACAAGCAGCTTCTGTGCTGTCAATGCAGAATGTGACATGAGGTTCAATCCCACAAATCATGAGATCACAACCTGAGCCAAAATCAAGAGTCGGATGCTTAACCGACTGAGCCACCCAGGCGCCCAAGGGACTCAGCTTTATGTGGTGGTCTCCTACTGACCCCCCCATGCTGAACAGGCCTGTCTTTGTCTCTTGCACCCCTCCCAGCCATCTATATGAAAGTTCCAGAGCACTAAGCTTCAATTGCCTCAACAGCCCAGGTACTTACTCACTGAATTTTGGCTTTTGCTTCATTTTTGACATCTAATATTTAATTTACTTCCTTATATTATATTTGGCATTTTTAGTTATTTTCAATTGGAACACTGTTAAGGTAACTAATCGTCATATGCAAATCTAAGAGCTTTCACCATATTATACTTCCACTAACCACTCAAGCTGAACACAGGGCAAGATAACTGTGCCCCTTTCAAACAACTGTACCTGAGTGACATCTCTGAAATCTGTCCCTGCAGCAGATTTAATTTTTGGACATGGCGTCTACAGTCAGCACCAGAACCCTCACCGTAAGTCTGAAAAACAAAAAAATATTAAGTTTAAAAAGTGTTGACAGGATGCTGTGAAATAGACCCATTAGTGATGTACCTCAGGGAGGAGAAAGCTATACTTTGTAAGGCCCAAATGCACCATGCAGGAATTCTAATGACTGACCCCTATTTCTGGAGTAATTGATTTACAAACTAACAGTCTTGGGAACTAACAGTTCTGGTCTATCTGTCCTACACATCCAAAACAAACTCAGCCCTGAGCCCCAACAAAACACTTAATAAACATGAATAAGAAACTGAAGAGATTTAATTCGAACCACCAATAAATATACGACATGATACTTCTGTTCGCTGATAATCTAAGGACCATAAAATAAGATGAAATACTTTTTTTTTTCAGTTAGCAGTCACTTATTTGCTTAACAATATTTACTGAGCATCTATTATGTGCCAGGTCCCTGGAGTAGTTAAGGACAATACAGTACAGAAGTGGACAAAAATCAGTCATCACGGAGCATACATCTAGTGAGAGGAGACAGACAGTAAACACATAAGTCAACTCCGTGGCCATCAGATGATGAGAAGTACTGCCAAGGAAAATAAGGCAATGAAAGGGGGTGGGGCAGTGTGAGGACAGAGCAGACAATTTTATACAGGGCATTCAGGGAATAGATCACTAAGGTGACATTTGAGCACAAAATAGGAAGCTTTGAGGGCATAAGCGATGTAGAGAGCTGGGGGAAAGCATTCAGCAGGAGCAATGACACAGACATGAGGGCAAAGACCCTGAGCCTGTGAAGGAACAGTAAGGAGGCCACATGGCTAGAGCTGGGTGTCTGGGGGAAAAGGGTAGGAGCGGAGGTCTGAGTGGATTATTCCCTACTACAGGTAAAGTCAGCCTCAATGAGACCTGTTCTGCTGTTGCCATCTTGAAAACGTTGTAAAATTTTTTTTTATTTGAAAATTTTAATAACCTTATCTTTGGAAGGCAGCTATGCTCACCACTATACCACCAATGCTCAAGAGCCTTATCTTGAACTTGTGGAAGTGGAGTCTGATAGGTCAATGGGGCATGTCCATAAGCAGAGGAGATATACACACTGCACAAGTCCATTGTCCCTTGCCACACCACTTGCATGCAGCATGCTCAATGACCTGGGGGCACAGAATTAAAGAGGACGCACAATATGTGGGAGTTCACTGAGACTCCGAGTGTAGACGCTGTGTTTGGCGTCTACGCCTGAGTATGTGGGGAGCACCCACTGCCTGAGAGCCCAGGCTTTCCACGGGAACAAGAACTTGCTTCAGAGGCAGAAAGAAGCAGGATGTTTTAAAAACACGTGAACAGTCAAGGAACCCTATCATATCTTTTTTTATTCCTGTTACTTGCTTGGAACAGCTGATCACTTGTGGTGAAAATGATGACTCAGAAGGAAAGGGCAAGATGGGGAGACTCTTGCTCCTTTCCCTCTCAGTCCTTCCTTATGCATCAGCGAGTTGATGGGGGAGAGCACGGGGAGGTGTCAGTAAGTAGAGTAAAAAGAGTGGAGTTAATTTTGTGTGGCATGTCCACTGTTCTGGTAAGAATGAAATACACAGGCATGTGTGAGCTCCAAAATGCAAATTGGGCGATTTTGATGATTCTGCATATATACAGTAAATGTTCTTATGTTATTCCACAAATAGACTAAACACTTTTTTTTTTTTTTTAAGTAGGCTTCATGCCCAGCACAGAGCTGACTCTGGGGCCTGAACTCTTGACCCTGAGATCAAGACCTGAACTAAGATGCAGGGTCAGATGCATGAGCCAACTGAGCCATCCAGGTGCCCCTAGGCTTAATGCTCTTTGCATTTTAAACTAGTGCTGCACAGTAGTAATAATAAAAATAATAATAATTTTAAAATATTAGCTTTACTTTACTTAGGAAGACACTCAAGAGTAAATAAGAAACATTATGAAAAGTCAAGAGAGACCAGGAAAGAAAGGAAAAGTTTAATACTTTAGTACTTTTAATAGCTTTTTTTCTTCTTTTGAACAAGGGGCCTTGCAATTTTCTTTTGTACCGGGCACACTTGCCCTGTCTGCAGGACCGTGGATTTTGCTTTAACCTGGAAGGCAGGGGTGAGTGACCTCGCCCAGCACATGGTTTAGCAGGACCTTCGGCTGTGGTGCCGAGGGCAGACTGTATGGCAGACACAGGTGGGCTGGGAGGAGGCTGCTGCAGACACTGATGGGGCTCAGACCACTGCAGTAACAAGGGGTCATTCTGGGTACATCCCAAAAGTAAAGCTGACAAAATCTATTGATGGACTGGGTGAAGAGTGCTTTAGGGAAAAGAAAAAAAAAAAAAAAAAGAATTGGGGAGGACTTCCAGGTTTTTAGCCCCAACAACTAACAAGGGACTTGGCATGTAAGAGACGGGGACTGTGGGAGAGCAGGTGGGTGGGGTAAGGAGGCCTTCTGTTTGGAAAGGTGGGTTCGGGACACCCAGTAGAGAGCTGAATGGACGGTTCGGGGACAGGCCTGGGGTCTGAGACAGACATTCCAGAACTGTCAGGTGATCTCATCTCAGACCACTGAGGGAGTGTCACTAGAGGAGAGGCCAAGAAACCAAGCACCAGAGCATTCTCACATTTACAAGTTGGGGAGATGCTAAAAAACTGGCAAAGAGGACAGAAAGCAGGAGAGCCAGGAGTGGGGTGACTGGAAGTCCAGGTGAAGACAATGCTTCAGTGACAAATTGTGACAGACACTAACAGGTCAAATCACTGGGGGAGAACTCATGACTGTTTTTAGCAAATGGAGATTCCTGGGGAATCAAAGCGCAGCTGGGGCAAGTTCAAGCAAGAATGGAGAGGAACAGCAGGACGGAAGGGCGAAGCTTCAGAAGATGTTTAGTGGCAGCGTGTACACTCGTCAGCATGGCAGGGACGCTGGCTGAGCCCTGACATGCATTCTCCTCTCATCTGGCCAGACTGGGCTACACTTTCTAGTCTTCCTTGCAGTCAGGTGTGGCCCTGAGACTGGGTTCTTTCTAGTGGGATGTTAGCCACTTCCAGGCCTGGCCCCTCAAAGCCTCCTGTTTAGCTCCTTCGTGCTCTTGGCCTTCAGTGGCTCCAGGCAGCAGGAGACAGGCCTCAGGGAGTGACAGAACCTCAAGACGTAAGGAGCCCGGGTCCCCGAATAACCTCACCAAGGACAGCTGCCCTGCCGATCTCAGTTCCTCCCAGGACGGTTATAAGAACAAAAGAAACAACTTCTTCTTCTTCTTTTTTAAAAAGTTCATTTATTTATTTATTTTCAGTAATCTCTACACCCAGCATGGGGCTCAAACTCATGACCCTGAGATCACGAGTTGCATGCTCTTTTGACTAAGCCAGCCAGCCGCCCCATTGAGAGAAACAACTTTTTTTTTTAAACATTGTTTATTTATTTTTGACAGAGAGAGAGAGAGAGAGACAGTGTGAACAGGGAAGGGGCAGAGAGAGAAGGAGATACAGAATCTGAAGACAGACTCCAGGCTCTGAGCTGGCAGTCAGCACAGTATTTTTACAGTATTCTTTTTTTTTTTTTTTTTATAGTTTATTTATTTCTAGGAGAGAGAGACAGCGTGAGCAGGGGAGGGTCAGAGAGAGAGGGAGTCACAGACTGAAACAGGCTCCAGGCTCCGAGCTGGCAGTCAGCACAGAGCCCGACGCGGGGCTTGAAGCCACGAACCGTGAGATCATGACCTGAGCTCAAGTCGGATGGTTAACCGACTGAGCCACCCAGGCGCCCCGAGAGAAACAACTTCTACTGTGTTAAGCTACCACAATTTTGTTATTTATTTGTCACTGTGGCCTAGTCTAACACAAGCCACACACCATTGCACATGCATGCACTTGGGAGGAAGGTGGAGCCTCTTCAAGGAGAATTTAGAAATATGTGCTCACATTAAAAACAAGCAGCAGTCATTAGCTTATGAACCAGCCCCTTGCCTTCTGAGACCCAATCTTGGGGTGGGCCTCAGCAGCTGTATTGCTGACCAGTGACCTGATGGGTGGGCCCCACTTCTATCATGCCAGCCAGCTGGACCCAAAAGGGACATCTGGGTCAAATGGGCCAATCGGATCACCTCTCCCCACTTATTAACTGGGACTCAGCTATTCTAGTTGGCTTGAAGTGAGAGTCGATGGTCTGTGGGTAGACTGTGTTACTGTGAACTATATGGGGAAGGAGGATGTGGGGAGAAGCTGGGTGTGGGGAGCAGAAGGGGAGGAAAAGATGCCGGCATTGTCAGCAGTTTTTCAATTCTTGGTGCTGGTTCTTCAAGGGGTCAGGGAAGAACCCTGTCCCCTGCATTCCCCAGGATACCCCATTACTTTGCCAGGACATTTTTTTTCCTTCTATATTGCTGAGGCCATTCTGAAGTGTTTTTTAATTCTATTATTTGTAACTAAAAGAGCCTTGGTCAAAAGATAACCTTTGAAACTAAAATTTAAACTTCTATGAATTTGTCCTAAGGAAGTAATTGGTCTAGTGAAGGAAGAGGTTCTTTGTAAGAAGTTCCACTGAAACATCGCTGTTAACAATGAAAATGAAGATTAACCTAAATGCCAATCAATGTGGGATTGGTCACTTATCAATTCAACAAATATTTATCCAGTGAGCACTTATTCCATGCCAGGTACTGTGCTATGTGCAGAGGGTGTATCAGTAAATAAAACAGGCAAAGCTTCTGCTCTCAGGGAACTTCCATGAGATAAGCAATACTCACATAAAGATACTCAGAATATCTGATCAGGATAGTGAGAAGAGCTAGACGAAGTCCCAACAATGAGCACAAAGGCTCTAAGAGTGCAGCACATCTGAATTGTTTCAAGGTCATAAAGGAAGGCCCTTATGGCTGAAGGAGGAGAATAAGGAGCTGAGGGTGGAGAGGTGGCATCAAGGGTCAGAGAAGGTATACAAGGGGCTCAATGAGGCAAAAGATGCCGGATGGTGTGTGGTATTAAAGAGATGAGGTGGATGGGTGCCTGGGTGGCTCACTTGGTTAAGCATCCAACTCTTTTTTTTAAATGTTTTTTATTTATTTCTGAGAGAGAGACAGCATGAACAGGGGAGGGTCAGGGAGAGAGGGAGACACAGAATCTGAAACAGGCTCCAGGCTCTGAGCTGTCAGCACAAAGCTGGACCCGGGGCTCGAACCCACAAACTGTGAGATCATGACCTGAGCCGAAGCTGGATGCTTAACCGACTGAGCCACCCAGGCGCCCCAAGCATCCAACTCTTGATTTCTGCTCAGCTCATGATTTCATGGTTGTCGGGCTCTGCACTGACAGTATGAAGCCTGCTTGGGATTCTCTCTCTCTGCCCCTCCCTTGCTAGTGGCTCATGCTCTTGCTCTCTCTATGTGTGCTCTCTCCCTCAAAAATAAACATTAAAAAAAGCAGAAAGGGATGCGGTCAAGCAACTGGTATCCACTTGAAGAGATCTGCAATGGCCTAAATAAGAGCTTTTACCCTGAGTTCCCCCCTGCCTCCTCCTGTCTCCTGATGGCCTCCCCTTCCTGAGCCCACAGGCGCCCACACCCCGCACGCACCACACGCACCCGACCGGTTGCCTATGACTGCCTGATCATTTCACAGGCCCCTGCATTTTCCCTGCATTGTGCTCAATCTAGTTTCAAATGACCAGTGTGTGTGCATCCGTTTCTCTTCCTCTCCCACATGAGTAGATCTGTGAGGACAAGAACGACAAAGCTTTTTTTTTTTTTTTTTAACCTTCCCTTGTCTCTCCTGTGCCTTCACACAGAAAGTACTCAATAAATACTTGCTGACTGAATAAACAAATGAAGGTTAACTTTCCCTGCACTGCTCCATCCATTTCACTTCCTGAAGGAACAGGAACTTCGGGAGCAGAAGTTCTGCACTAGTGACCTCGGTCCCAATACTGGGATGCTGGGACTCCACGCTACTGCAGGGCTGGGGCCCCTGCTCTCTCGCATGGGTATTAGCTACCCTGTTTCTCAGGACTCACCCGCAAAAATGACTGCTTCTCTCCACAAGCTTTGCATGTCCACTTGAGACTCTTCTTCTCCTACAATGAAATTTCAGAAATGTGGCTTAGATAATTATTTAAAACAGGTGGAACTGAATCAAAAATAGTGATCTGAAAAAATGAGTGGAAAAGAATAAAAGTGTAAGAACAGACCAACATATATGTATAAAAAGCCAGCACGTTATAAAGGTGGCATTTTAGGAGTGAGGAAAAAACAGACTATTTAGTAAATGGTGCTAGGAAAAATGGCCATCCATATGAAACAGTCTAGTTAGATCTCTACTACCTGTGGTTCTCAAAAATAATTCCACAACATTTAATTTCAATTCCTGATAAATCTAACTAGATGGGTTCTCTCTTAACAGGATAAAATACCTTACATTTAGCGCTAAAACTGTAGAATCACTACCAGCTCTCCCATGAAAATCAAGAACAAGCCAAGAATCCCTACTACTATTTACCATTGTTATTTTCTACAAACAATTGGAAAAGAAAAAGTAGTAAGAGGTAATGAAAATTGGAGAGGAAAATATTATCATTATTTATAGATATGATTTCCTTTTTTACCTGAAAACTCAAGAAAATCAAATGAAAAACCACCAAAAACAACCTAATATGATGAGGAGAAGTACAAAGTTAATACAGCTTGAAAAGTTAATAGAGTCTTTATATAAGCATTTATCTAGTTAGAAAAGGTAACAGAAGAGTCCATTTATAACAGCAACAAAGAAAATGTTATCAAAAGGCACCAAAGTTGTTTGAAAAAATGGAATGGCGTAGATGTTTTGCTTAACAACAAAAACATGCCTGGGTTGATTCATAAAAATTAATGTAAGTCTGATCCTGATACAAAAACCACTGGGTTTTTTGGTCAAATACCCAATAGGATTCTAAGGAGGTCAAGCAGCATCTCCTACACATTTATGTGGGTATGTCCTACAATTCATTTAATTCTCCAGGACTGATCCTCAAACACCATAAAAATGTTTTCTATGGGTACATCTGCAAGTAAGAAATGGACTTTAAAAAAAAATGTCTGGAAGCATACACCGCAACTGGCTGGCTCTGGGGGTCCGGAGACAGTATGGTTAACAGATATGGTTATCAGTATGGTTAACAGGATCTTTGCAATCAGATAGCCCTGCATCTGTCATTTATTAGACCATTTGGGTTCTCTGGACTGCTGTATTCTCATCTCTGTAAAATAATGATAAGACATCTAATCTAGAGGCTGTTTAAATTAAAAGGGATGTGTGAAATGGTCATACCTGCAATTAAATTGTTAACTCTTTTCCCCCTTTAGTTTCAAATCACTTTTCATAGTTGAAAATGACCATGGGTGTGTACTACAGTATATATGTTTAATAATTTAAAAATGGAAATGATTTCTATTTAATCTCAATTCCTAAAACATAGTCCAAAAAATGAAGTAAAAACAATTTCTGAGTCCCCGAATAGCCCCTACAGTCTCAGCGAGATTACAGGTGTATACTCAGCATCGGGTTTTTAAACATACATTTTGAAGAAGTTTGATGTTACCCTTTTTCAGGTCACAGTAGATTAGCAGATAACTAAGGGGTAAGAGAGGACTATCAGAAGCAGATAGGCTTGTTTGACAGCAGTGTTAGGTGACATCAAGCAGGAAGAGGAAATACTATCCAGGAAAAAAGAGGTTAAGTGACATCCCCTAAATTGCAACTTGAAAGCTTGGGAAGCAGTACATTTTAGAAATATCGATTATCCTGTTTAAAATATTCATACGCAGGTTGTTTACACTCTGGGAAACAGGGGTCGGGAATGCGGATGGTGACATCGATAGGGCCAAGCAGTGACAGCAGGGGATGCCCGTTCCTGTCTCAGTTTTAAAATCGGTCATCTCCCTAGTATTTAAATTAAGAAAGAGGCACTTTGGGAGCTAAGCTCTACAAAAAAGAGGCTATGCTCAACCTCGCTTTCCCAACTATCAGCAAGAAGTCACGCGGCCGCTCCGCAGAAACCATCGCCCTTGGCCTCTACGAATCTTTTACAACAGCCATGCCGAAAACTAACAAAAAAAGCCCACAAACACGTTATGAAGAGATGTCAAAACCCAGTTCTCAAAGCCAGTCATCGTCACGTGTCCGGGCCTCGGGGAGACCCAAGCAACAGCGGGAGACGGCGCCCGCGCCGGAGAGCAAGCCACGGGAAGCAAGCCAGGCACCTCGCGGCCTCGCCAAGTCCCGCACGCCTTCCCCGCGCCCGGAGGAGGGGGATGCCGGTGCCCACCCCACCTGGTGCGCCTGGAAGAGGCGGCAACTGCAGCACCGCAGCACGCGAAACCGCTGAGGCGCCGCCATTGCAGCCGCTTTCGCCACTGCGCATGCGTCCAGCTCCCTTGACAGGCTCAACTACGCTCCCCCTACATGTTCAGGGTCCTCTAGACATCCCCCCCTCCCCACGGCGCCGCCTCGCGTACGCATGCGCAGGCGCCGGCGCTTCGGTCGGCCCCAGCTCCGCCCCCACCACGCCTTCGGGCCTCTCTAGCCCGCGGATCGTCTCGGCGGTCGGCCGGGATGCACGTGACTGCAAGGGCTCAGGCCACTACTGCTCAGTGGGGTGGGGAGTTGTTTGGGATTTGCGTCCACCTGGTCACCGACGTGCTATCTCAACCGGACCGGCTCCTGTCTTCCTGAGTCCGCATCTCTGCTTGGCCGCGCTGGGAAGATTGAAGTTGCAACGGCAAGGCCTCCAGCCGCTGCTCCGGGTCTGGCCTTTGCCCTCACCATTCCCTCTGCTGCTGCTAGTCTCAGACTGGGAGTGGGAGGGCGCCGCTCCGCTCCCACCCACCTCTTGGGGCTAGTGGTTGAAGTTTTCAGGACTTCTGGGCAGAGGAGGCCAGGTCATCTTTGAGACTGAGCCCAGAGGGCCGAGAAAGCAGGCAGTTCACCAGCCCCATGCTTACCGGAGAGGGAGAGAGACGAGAGGCCGCCGTAAACGAAACCAGCCCCTCCTGCAGTCCCCAAGAAAGAAAGCCCCACTGAGATCCATTTTGGAAGGTGGGGTAGCAGGGCCCAGTAACACACCCCTTCTGTCTCAACCGCACAGGGACCTAACGCCAGACCGTCAAGATGTTCCACGTGCCGATAACAAGCCATCTTACTAAAATTAAAACACCCTATCTTGACAAGGATGTGGTGAGAGGAACAGGATTCTGGTAGAAGGGTAAAATTAAAAAACTGTTAGGAAAACCATCTGGCAGTTACCTCTGCACTAAGAAAACAACTGACTCACCCAGATTTATTATTTATGCATTAGTGTTCAGAAAAAAATGGAAATAAACGTGCTAAAGAACGGTTGCCTACGGTAACTCAGCAAGGACCGTCATGCTGGTCCATTACCGAGAGTCTGAGTTTGCCATGAAAATGCTGGCAATGTGTATCGATGGGAGGCAAAGAAGTTACAAGAGTACATAACTTCGGCTCGGTAACACCAGGCATTATTTATTTCCAAGGGTGGGGGCTTACGGTTGTGTATGATTTAAAATTGTTTAAAAATTTTAGGTTTTCCAAGTTTTGCACAAAACCACGTCAGAAAAAAAACACCAAATTTGTTTACAAATACTGTGTTTGAGAGGCTGAATTTACAAATGGATTGTGACCAGACCACATACGACCACTTCTATAGCAGCAACCCCTCAACCTCCAAAACCAATCTACGACCTCTAGAGCATACACGACTTGGTCAATGACTACCAATTTCCCTATATTTTGCGTTTTGCCTCTCATCTCTGGAAGAACCTGAGGCCAATCATGCTCCTCACAGCAACACAAAAGACTTCCTTCTAGTTAGCCAGCTTCCCTTCCCTGCCCACAGCCTCTCATCAGAGCACAGCTGAAGCCTTTCCTTGTTTTCACTTATAAGGCTTTCCCACTCCTCTACCTTTGAGTCTCTGTCGGGTGATGATGGCTGACTCCTTTTCTGTTGCAAGCTCTGGGTAAATAGTCCTATTCTCATTTGTGTGGTCTTTATTCCCATGTGTCTGAGTTTCTGTGGCTGAGAGCAGAAGGCATCTGAAAAGAATGTTTTATGCTTGATGAAAACAGCAGAGTAAAAATTTCACATAAGGTACAGGCTCACCTTTGAAAAAGAAAAAAATAAACACAGGGGCCCTTGGGTGGCTCAGTCGGTTGAAAGTCTGACTCTTGATTTTGGCTCAGGTAGTGATTTCACGGTTGCTGAGATGGGGCCTCGCGTGAGCTTCAAGCTGTCTGCTTGGGATTCTCTTTCTCTCTGCCCCTCTTCCACTCACACTCAGTCTCAAAATAAATAAACACTAAAAAAAAAAAACCCAAACACAAAAATACTGAATAATTGTAAAACTAGGAAAAATTGTTTTTCTACTTTTCTGTATGTTTTCCTCCCTTCTGTTATAAACGTAATCTTTTTTAAAAAGTCATATACATATTGGGGTGCCTTGGGTGGCTCAGTTAAGTGTCTGACTCTTGGATTTGGTTCAGGTCATGATCTCATGGTTCTTGAGATTGAACTCTGTAGGGCTTCAAGCTGTCTGCTTGGGATTCTCTCTCTCTGCCCCTCCTCCTGCTTACATGTGCCTGTATGTAAACATTAAATAAACATTAAAAAATAAACATTAAGGGGCGCCTGGGTGGCTCAGTTGGTTGCACGGCCAACTTCGGCTCAGGTCATGGTCTCAATATTCGTGAGTTCGAGCCCTGCATTGCGCCCTGTGCTGAGCTCAGAACCTGGAGCCCGCTTCAGATTCTGTGTCTCAGATTCTCAGATTCTCTCTCAGCCCTCCCCTGCTCACACTCTGTCTCTCTCAAAAATAAACATTAAAAATTTTTTATAAAAAAACATTAAATAAAATTAAACATTAAAAAAACTAATTTTCTTGGGAATTATAAAAGTGACTTGGTTTGGTACATGACTTGGTAAGCAGTTTAAAAATATATAATTATGTTTGCTTACAGGATAAAAATGTTTTTAAAGCTTTATTTGTATTATTCATATATTTTTTAGTGTTAACTGCTCTGGTTGTTAAATATGTTGAATATCATCACAGGTTGAATGATTAATGGATGAAAGTACTATTGTACATTTTTATATATTCTTTTATCATATGAAAGTCTAGATTCCTGTTTTATATTCTTTTTAACTTCTTTAGTATATTCTCACATTTAGACTTCTACATGGTATAAAACATTTACCCAAATTTCATGTCATTTCAATCTTTCTAATTGATTACAATTAATTTAACACTTTAAACTGCAAACTTGTGTGGGATTTTTATGTATATCTTTACCTAATTTCATTATGGCCAAGAATACCGTCTTTGTGGTAGGAGCCCTTTAAAATTACTTTACGGCAAAGCATGTGGCCTGTTTGTGTAAATACTAGAAAGAAAATGACATTGACTAATGACCTTTTCTTGTTAAGAAAGCAAACAATTATTCATTTTTCTTGATGTTTTGCTGCATTTATTGAGATGTGTGACCCAGCAGTTGTGAACAAGGTAAAATCCCAGAGACTGTTATTTAAAATACCAGCCATAAAACTATAGATAGAAAGTAGATTAGTGGTAGCCTGGAGCTGGGGGTGGGAACAGGGACTGGCTGCACATGGGTAGGAGGGGCCTTTTTGGGGTGATAGAAATACTCTAAAATTGCATTGTGATGATAGTTCACAACTCTGTAAATTTACTAAAAATCATTGATTTATAACTTGAAAACAAGTGAATTTTATGGTATGTAAATTGTGCCTCAATAAAACTATTAAATAAAAAAAAAACAAAACAGCCACAGATGTATCTTTCAGTAGAAGAGGGGCTCCATGTAGGAGAGAGCAGACGCCAGACACTGATGATCAGCTCTTGCTGCAAAGCTAGGAGGTACTCATGGCTCGGCCCGTCACCTGTGGCCCCACAGCTTCCTGAACCCAAGTGCTTGCTGCAGCCCAGACCCACGCACACACCTATACCCACTGGACCCAGGCTGCTTATACCTACAGAGCCTGGGGCGTACCCTGTTGGACCAGGTCAGCTCAGGTCCTGATGGGCCTGCATCAGCACCTTCTGTGTCCCCAAACTCCCTGGGGGCCTTGAACCCCTGTCCCCGGGAGGGGGGGGGGGGTTGTCTCAGTGCCCAGAGCCTCTGGAACACGGCCTGGCCCTTTGCCTGCCTGGCAAGAAGCCAGGAGCCCAAGCAGTAGCTGAGGCCACATGAAGTCTCTGTACACAGTATGGTATTGAGTTCTTTCAGGGATTTATTAAGGCATTGAGCACAGTGTGATTTTCAGCCAACTGAAATGAATACACAGAAATATATCAGGACCTGAGGGATGTGCTTTTAAGGTTAATGGTGAGGCTGACAAGCTGAAAGAGCATTCAGAGTGACGCCAGTGCAGCACTCGCCCCAGCGTGGGAGATACTTTCCCTCAGCAGGGTCTCAGGCTCAGGAGCTCCTAGGGAGCATCTTGAAGTTCCCACCACTTTGATGCACGACAGGCACATGACCTCCTGCCTGGTGACACCCCCCTCCAAGTACACAGCTTTGGGACCCCCCAGCCTCCCCAGGGGTGGAGGGCATGGTGTGGCCTGGCCACAGCATGGGGCGCAGAGAGGCATTGGGCGAGCAGGCCAGGACAGACAACCTCTGACACAACATGGGGACCGAGGTGGGTCCCACCCGGCAGGCAGGAAGAGGGGGCTGGGGACCTCTCTCTGGGCCCAACTGTGGATGTGGAGCCTTTTTTTCCTGATTACAACTCACTGCACCTGGGGAGAACAGGAGGGGTGTGTTCTTACGGAGAAAAGAGAACAGGAGGGAGGAGGGGGAAGGGAGGAGAGGCCAGGCACCCGTCAGCCTGAAACTCCAGACTGTTCGAGGTCACTGGAGGTGCTGAACTGTCTCTCCACCTTCTTTTGGTCCTTGATCTTGAGTCTAATATCCGCCCTCTTCTCAAAGAAGTTCACCAGAACGGACTCCGTCAGGATGGAGGCCAAGATCTGCTCGAAGGAGATGCACCAGTCGGTGTCCACGGTGCCCCCACAGCGGGCGGTGGCTGGGGGACTTTGGGACTCCCCGCCCACCAGCACCGTGTCGTCATCAGCCAGGTCCTCACACTGCAGGGAGCCTGTGCTGACCACCGAGTAGGAGGACATGGACATGTCGTCTTTGGTTTCGTCGTCGGACAGAAGCTGGGGGGGGGAGCCCCGGCCCTCGCCGCCGCCCCCTTCGCCCACCACCTGGCTTTCCTGTGGAGCTTTCCCAAGGTGGGTGTCTCCCCCAGCTTTGGCCTGGGGGTCACCCGCGGCTGGAGGCTGAAGCTCCGGCGGGGCCGGGTCCTGGGAGGGGGCCGGGGCGGGCATCTCATCGTCCTCCGGAGCACTATCCTGGGGCTTCCTGCCTGGCTGCATGGAAAACT